TGTCTGCACCAATACATTCCAGGTCAGTTGCGGGGCCGGGGCCAGGAAATGAGTGTACAAAGGCAACAAACCCATGCTGTAGACGAAGTGAGCACCTGCAACAAGCCCAGAAACTGTCTGCACCAATATATTACAGGCCGTTTGCGGAGCTGGGACCAGGACATGACTGTACAAGGGGACAAGGCCCATACTGTAGATAACCTGCAAGCCCAGAGATATTGCCGTAGACACCTGCACTACTGCACTCCACAATAGTTGCGGAGTCGGCTCGAGGACATGAGTGTAGAAAGGTACCAAACCTATGTTGTACAGGAACTGTGCAGTTGAAGATAATGCTCTCGACACATGCTCCATTGCAGTCCACACAAGTGTCAGTGCCGGGCCCAGGACGTGAGTGTAGAACGGCACCAAATACCCGTCGTAGACCAGCTGAGCACCGACAACAAGCCCAGAAACTGCATCCCAGGCCATTTGCGGTGGGGCCAGGATGTGAGTGTAGAATGGTACCAAAGCCAAGTCGTAAACGACCTGCAAACAAAGAGATATGTTCCTCTCCAGTCCCGCAAGAAATTGCACAACTGTGTTGATGGCAACGCAAAAAGGACCACCTCTGCGGCTTTAGATCTCTGCCTCTTTGGCGAGGGTGGAGATTGTCTTAAGCACTGTATAACAAACAAGGCACCCAGCCCCTAAGTGGGCCACGCGCAATCGCCACTGCCAGCGCCTCTGATTCCGTCTCCATTCTTGCATTAGGGGATGCTCTGGGCCTACATAGAAGGAAGTGGCATGGCAGGACTGGCGCTCCTCAATGGCTCCTTGGAAGGCTACTACACAAAACATCGACACCATACAGTTCCTGGTTTATTTCACAAGAGAGGTCGAAGGAGAACTCCTTCGAACCCTTCACCTGTTTCAGGACGCTGAAGTCCCTCACAAAACAGAAAGACGAACTCCAACAGCCCAGGCTCCGCAGCAATAAGGACACACAGTTTTCGGGAGTAAGGAGGAGCATTCGCTGCAGCAGACCTTGGCAGGGTTGAACCGGGATCCCCTGTAGAATTCACACGACAACCCCGGGGGGGGCATTTTGTACCTACAAATGCGGCACCCCAGGTCCAAACCAACCAACCCATCTATAGAATCAAACCCCCCCCAAGATAGAAAACTTATATAAGTCAAGTCTATAATATTGGGTTGGGGGTTGGCCATAGTGGGCTCACAGAGAATCGTGTCAACAGGAAAATGCTTAAACAACCATCTCCACAAAGTGGGTTCTGACCCTCTACAAAATTATGGTGGGTGAGCGCACATGCTCGAGTCAACGGAAAGATATGTAAAAAATGCCATTTGCAGATCATGTTTTTGCTAACATGCTCTACAAATCATGAACACCCAGGACAGTGATTCTGTAGAAAACCAATGTTTCTCTACAAAATGGTCGTTTCCAACACTTGGGTTGACCAAATTTGTAGAGGGAATGTCACAGGGGATGAACCGGGTAGAGTTTGGGCGCTCGAAGAGCAGTTTACTTTGGTGGAAAATTGGCGTACTGTACGCAATTTCATTGGGTCGACATGCTCGCTTGTCAGAGCGTGTACTCCACGCCAGTCTCGGTTCAAAGAAGGCCCTTGCGTTCCTTTCGATCGTGGTCGCATTGCCACCACCTGTTTTCGGATCCTCGCTTTCTGTTAGAGCCATTGCATGGTAGCGGAGATGTCCGGGGCTTGAGAGAAAGGAGACAAGTCAGGTTCTGCCAGGCCGATCCTGATCGAAGAGGGAGTCACTAGATCCAAGGATGGTGTGCCTCAATGGAACGGCGATTTCAGGTCGTTCCAAGAATATCAAGAGATGGCGCTACAGTGGGAACAGGGCATCCCTACCCACAAAAGGTACCTATGTAGGCTGCGCTTGCTAGGTGAGTTGTCTGGCATTGCGAGGAAGTATGTGGTGGGAAAGCGGCCTGATTGGCTATCATACAACGGCAGCTATGAACTCCTACGTCGCGCGCAAGAGTTAACCTTACAATCGAGCCAAACAGGCCCTGTCACGGTCCATCAAGACGATCGAGTACCAGGACATCGGGCTACATCCTCGCCTACCTGGACTACATGGCATCGGCCACAACAACATCAAGGGCGGTGGTCTTCACGACACCAGTCAACAACACCACAACCCTCGACAGAGTCCCAGGCACCGGCAAGTGAAGGAGCACATGTCCCACAAGAAGAGGATGGCTTCTATGATGCATCAGAAGGAGGCTTTGACCCATGGCGCCAATACGCATCCCGCGGTGCAGTGGACGCAAACCGCAACGGAGCTCCTGCCACACTACCTGGAGTGGTACCTCCTCCGTGACGCACACCTAAATAGTCATCCAGACCGCCGTGGGCAACACCTCGCCCAAGAGCTCCCCGCACATTGCTGAGCGTGATCAAGCTCACAAGCACTCCAGCTTCTGGAACCAAGATGAGCTCTCAGAGGAAGAGGCAGAGTTGCCGGAGCAACAGCACCAAATGAAAATGAGCCGCCAGTACTAGAAGGTCTCCACCACTGACAAGGTCCGTCAGACAGGTGAGGTCGCCGGCAAAGGGGGCATCAAATGCTTCAGATGTGGAGGTCCTCACAAAATTGCCAACTGTCCTGACCGTTCAGCACCTTCCCGAAATGAACATCACGTGGCACAGGAAGAGGCCCCTTTTGCGTGTTTCGCTGAGGCTTCCACGGAAGCGGTGACCTTGTTTGCCGATGAAGCATACCTGGCCGACGCCGGCAAGACCACGAATCGGAAAAGCACAGAGCAGGCTATGCTGAGGGCTATGGCATCGTTGATCGGGGAGCTACCAGAACCCTTGGCTCTGTCTACGCCATGGAGGCCCTCGTCATTGCAAACCTGCGAAAACGCCAGGATGGAGGTGTTTTGGAGGTGGACACCAACAACCAGCCGGTTTTTGGGTTCGGCAACAGTAGCCGCGACAAATGTTTGAGCGCCACCAAGATGCGCATTTCAGCCAACAACAAAGATGGAGCGCTGACCATCCACAATCATCCACACCTTAGACCGGGGGGAAGGACCAGTACTGTTGTCCATTTGAGGAAGACCTAGTGGTGTTCCGCGCAATGAAGCGGCCCCAACCCGGACACCAGCTGCTGCTGCTGACTGAAGACATGCCAAGTGTGCAGGCGATCCCTAGCTTGCGATCTTTTTGCTAGGAGTGGGGACAACTCCTTCCTTCTGCTGACAATAAGGCACCGGGGTCACCCTCATATGAAGAAGATATGGGGAAAGATTTTTTGGGGGTTGGTGAGGTTGGTTCGGTCTTGGTGGTCGAAAACACCAAACAAAGAACCAAATCACATACCGAGCAACTGCAGCACGGCAGCAGCCACTTAGATCAAGCACCAGGTCGACTACCACCGTGTCACAGCCCAAAACTTACACTGACAGGAGACAATGAGATCGTTCTTCTTCTTGTTGGCTTTTCCCAAGGATTGGTGACTGCTGCAAACTTTGCCTTGGGCCCTGACGATGCCCTTTTCTTCCATGTTGCTTCGTCGTTTGTCATTTCGAATCGGAACACGAAGAGAAAATCAAAAAGAAGTTGTATGTTTTACGCGCTGCCACCGGACATGGAAGTACCCGACACTAAGTCCGGGCAGGAGCTTCTAATGAAGTCATCCAACTTGCTAAAGATTTTCATTGCCCCATTTGTCCAGAGTCTCAGCGGTTGAACCACCGACATCTCTCTTCCCTGGAAGCCCTTCCACCAAAACTTGCCACCGTCAGTGCTGACGGAGGGAACCAACCCTCATAGTCTGGAGGAAAGTGAATTTGCTCTTGCCATCGAGGACGGCATTGCAGTCGTTTTCGAGCCAAGCATGGCAAGCATCAGACCATGTCAGCTGCCATTTTTCTCAATTTCATGTGAGAGGCATGGATTCAATATTTTGGAGCCCCGCATTCCTTGCGGGTCACCCGGCAGGCGCCTTTAGAAGTCATGAACTTGAACGTTTTTGCCGACAATAGCATTTCTTGGAAGTCATAGCTCAAGAAGCCCATTGGCAGCTGGGCACGTGTTAACAGGCCGTCAAATGAGTCAAAGAGGTCACCCAACCCAGACCTTTCTGCAGAAGCCTGTTTGAGCGAAGCAGTCCGCGTGTTCACCAGTCCAACACCTTCTTGGAAAGGCACCTGACGAAACAGGCCGTTTCGTGAACAGCCTGACTGGAGAACATCCTTTACAGTGCATCACCTTGATGAAGGAGGCCGAACAAGCTCTGTCAGAGTGGCAAGCCAAGCAACGCACTGGCAGAGCCCTCAACTCCAGAGCGCAGCCCCGATAAGAGTATCGACCAGGAGATCTAGTATACTTCTGGCGGAAACAGGTGAAAAACAAGGGCGTGGGCAAGAACGGCGCCTTCCTCGGACCCGCACGAGTCTTATGCACTGACACCAAGCGGGATGCCCAGGGGAATCTGGAAAAAGGATGGTCTATCGGTCTATCTGGTGCGTCCGGGGACGACGCCTATAGTGAAGTGTTGTGAAAGCATTTCATCAGAAGCGCCAGACATAGTTAGTGGCAAAGGGCGCAAGATCCAGATGCAGCCCAGCCGATGGAAGCAGTGGAGACACCAGGAGAAGCACCGGTGAGGACTCACCCATGCTTCCACAATCTCATCTTCGCCACCGATACAAACGATCGGTGGAATCAACCAACCCAGAGGGCCAACCAAAGATCAGCCGGACCTCACATCTCACATCTCAGCCAAGAGAAGGTGAGACATCTAGCAGTTCCAGCGGACACCACCAAGGCTGGTGGAATCAAGTCCAGGCTGATTGCAAAGAAACAGCTCCAGATGCCATCTCTTTCTGGACAGACGAACTCGCCTGTGTGGAGATCGAGATAGCTTTTCCTGAGTCTCGCCACGGAATGCAAGCAGCCATCAAAAACTTGGAGGCTTTCTTCACGGGAGCCCTTCAGCGTCGCCAAGTTGAAGTACATGAACATCGGCTGACACCACAAGAGCGCCAGCAGTTCAAAGAGGCGAAGGGAACAGAAGTCACCAATTTCTTGTCAGCCAAAGCTTTTGAAGCTCTACCGCCCCTGGAGCGGTATCGAACCATTTCAGAATACCTTGAGACACAAGGCCTGGTCAAGTCTTGGGCAGACCCCTGCTGCTGGCTATGGAAGCCAGCCGGCGACATCACGGAGGGCATGATCGCTGGCCACGTGGACGACTTTTTGTTTGCTGGACCCAAAGATGACCAGCGTTGGAGTTCCATAGGGCAAATTATCAAACATCGCTTCAAGTGGTCCGATTGGGAAGAAGGAAAGTTTGTACAGTGCAGTGTACAAATTGAAGCCACATCTGAAGGATTTGAACTTTCCCAACCCACATACTTGGATAAAGTCAGTGAAACTCATTTGTGCCCCACCCACCGTCGTGAAAAGAACCAGCCCGCGACAGAGTGGGAACGCACCAAGCTCCGAGCCATTCTAGGAGCTCTGAGTTGGCATGCTCAACAAGTGTCGCCACACTTGTCGGCTGAGGTGGGCCTTTTGTTGTCAGGAGTCACTGTCAGCACAGTGGACACAAAAGGTAGAGTGAACTCCCTTTTACAAAAGGCGAAAGCCCGAACCGATCACAAGCTCAAGATCCAAAGGGTACCAGAGCATGTTCCTATCCGTTTGTTCGTGTGGGCAGACGCCTCAGGCCAAAACAGAAGAGATGGCAGCAGCACACAAGGTCTGTTCGTAGGGGTGGCCCCACTCACTTTGTTGGAAGGTGCTTTTGAAACGGTGGTTCCCATAGCCTGGCATGCCAGCAAAATAGACCGTGTAACTAGAAGTCACGGCGCAGCTGAAGCGAGCGCAGTCATCAACGGAGAAGATCTCCTTCATGCCAGGTTCCAATATGGTGAGTTCATGCATCAACCAAATATCTTCGATGTTGATAGCACAGTCAATCAAATCACAGGTTGCGCGGTCTCGGACTCACGTACTGCTTTCGATAAACTTCAGACTGAGGAACTTAGTGTAAAGGGAGCGGAACGCCGAACAGACATCGAAGTGCTGTGCTTAAAATCAGCTCAACGCCAAAGCCAAGTCATGATTAGATGGGTCCACTCTGAGGCACAACTGAGCAACGCGCTTACAAAAAGCGGAGCTAAGGAGTTGGAACTCTACTACAAGTCCAGCCAACGTTGGCGCATCGTGAGTGACGACTACATGGGGTCCACGCGCAAGCGGAAACAACAAGGCATCAACACCTTTGAACATTCCTCCAAGACCCCTGGAAAACTTCTGTGAGGAGGGATCCCGGGGGATGCAATTTCATTGGGTCGACATGCTCGCTTGTCAGAGCGTGTACTCCACGCCAGTCTCGGTTCAAAGACGGCCCTTGCGTTCCTTTCGATCGTGGTCGCATTGCCACCACCTGTTTTCGGATCCTCGCTTTCTGTTAGAGCCATTGCACTTGGGTTTTGGTGAGCTGCCACACCTCCGCTGACCACTTGCACTGTATATGTCTTTCCCTGCTTTCTCGGGGTCCTCCAGACATTGCAATTGTTGGCCCATCCTCAATCTCACTCAAAACAGCATGCTGAAGTCTTGGCCAAGATACCACATGGCCACACGGCAGGAACAGCACGTTGGGCGTGCTTGTGAGGCAAACGATGCAAGCATGGTCTGCGCTGACTTCCATAGGACCAAGCTCGGGCGCTGACCGCGTGGTTTGGAGGCTCGGATTGGAACAGCTATCATGTTGGGAAGCATCATGAAGCATCTACTACTAGCAATGCCAGTCTGAGCAAACACGTCTTTTGCATGGTCATGTCTTCTGTTATGGTGCCGTATGCTACATCGATGCATTGTGCTGGAGCATACTACAGTACTGCAACAGTACTGTATACTGTAGCTGTAGGCTGCGAAAATGCGAAGCTGTTCGACTCATTGTCAACTAACATGGATGGGTTGTTAAGAGGGGATCCCCACAAGGGGGTGAATGGCTGCGGTGATGGTTGGGATCCCCACCGTCACCGCTATTGGTGTAGAGTGATACCCGAGGTGTTTTGGACATCCAGTCGGAAAACGAACACCAAAGAGGACTTGATCAGCGAAGCCGATTCATCTGGAGAGAGTACAAGGTCGCATCAACATCAACAAAACGATTCCATGCAAGCATGGTCTGCAAATGAAGCGAATACAGGGACCGAAATGGTGTTGTGGCCTAGCTCTTGCGCTGGTTCCCGAAACAGCAGACGTGTGACATCGGCGTAGGTATATACCTCCTGTGTGGTTCCGTTGAAGACTGCAGCACAGCCCACGCCTTGTGCTTGCATCCTCAAGCAGGCTCGCCGCCACAGCCCCTTTCCTTCGATCGGAGTCACCCCACAAATACTGTCTCAGCGAAGGAGTGCTTCCAAACCTCGCCAAGCAGCGCTCTGCGCTCGCCTCGCGTGACAATGAGGTAGCTGACCTCGGTGGGATGCCGCTGAATCAGCGGGTGTTCACGGATCTCTGGTGATGTTTGTGTGCTTTTTTCTAGTGTCCTTGGTGAAAATTGACTATTCCCAGAGGTGTGCACTACATGGAGGAATAATTTGGTCACATCAACCTTGGAATAATGGTTCACAGGACCGGCCATGGATCCCATTCCCCGTCACACCACGCGCCTGGTCAGGAGACAAAGAAGACTTTTGAGCCTGGTCAGAATGCAGCGAGAGAGAACGGTCTGAGTCATCCCTTGGAAGACGTGTCCCGTCCCCAATGAAAGACCAGAACGAGTTTATATAGGTTCATGGATGCCAGCAGCAAAGCAATTCACAGGCTTCTAGGGCTCTGGTCTGGAAAGGGGAAAAACTCTCAGATGATCTGATGAACCCCAAACCACCCCGGCAGCGCAATGCAGCGCACTGCAGCGTGGTCCTCGCCCGACTTCGACCCAAGCACCTCCCCTGCCAAACGTACTGTCCCTCTCCCACCTGACGAAGGAGGTCTAGAGACTCAAACCAAGGCCTTAGTTCAGACCCGGACGTACCTCCTCTTCCACTCGGAGACCCATCTGACTCAGGGTGGATGGGATGACAAGGCTTGGCAAGCTTTGTGCTCTCATACAAAAGACCTCGTTGGGCAACTCAAGCAAGGCTGTGAATCCATCACAATGCATAGCCCTCAATGGAAATTGGGGTCCTGACACCGCTGCCTGGAAGAAGACTTACTGTAGTTGTGTGGCGGCTGGAACCGAGAGCATCAGTCTCCCTGGCGTTGTTGGATGAGACCCTACAACTTCTGAGAAATCTCCAGCCCGCTCACAAAATGCCCGGGGAATTCTCCAGCGGCACTTGGCTTCCGAGCAATCTTTGCCTACCCAGCGATTGATTGAAGCTCCAAGTTTGTGCAGACTTGCTCCTGAGGATCCATCGCACATCCACAGCTCAGCTTCTGATGAAATGATATCACCCAAGATCACCTTCCCAACTGTTGCTGATTTCGGGCAAAAAGGGGGGAGATGGACTAGGGATGGACCGAGATGGTGCTTCCAGCCCCCAAAAAAAACTCATCGGAACCAAGTCCCCAGTCGGACTCGAGTCCTCGGCATGCCATGACGGGCAGACGGGAACTGAAAGAATCGGAAGAACTTTGTTCCAACAAAAGCAAAAATCAAAAACAGGATCACAGCTAACGCTTCCTAGAAGCAAAATCATGATTGTGTATATATAATATAACATATATATATATGTGTATATAATATATATATATGTATATTGTGTCTATTTGATTCTATTTGTACTTAATTATGCTATTCATGGAATCCCATCAACATTGGATAGATCCTCGCCAAGCGCGAACCGTTCGAGCCAGAAAGGCTCCATCAAGCGGCATGCCTTCGAAATCATTTTCAGACGGGCAGAGTGGAAATATTGTCCACCTGGGAGACTAGCTTACTGCTTTCCATTGAAGGAAAGTCCAACATCGCATCAACGTACCAGGTGGGCATTTGTATACGTATATATATAATTGTATGTATAATACATTATAATACTTACATGAAAATGTCATCTGAAGACCAGAATCCCTGCCTGTCGAATGCCTGTCTGTCGAAAAGAACCATCCATTAACTGGAAAGATCGCACAGGACCGTGGGACCCCTCCGAATTTACACTACATCACTGGGCGCCTGTGTGAGGTGAGCCTTTTTCATAGCCTTACCCTCCTGGCAAAACGATGGGTATCTGGAAAGTTGTCATCGCAGTGATCAGAACAACATGTATTTGCATTCTCTTCAGACCATTTACTGGAAAGAAGAACAAATTCAGACCCGGAGATTGAATTGCAAGCTGAGAAGTTGAACACAATTCCGCTCTAGTTCAGGCGTCTCGCACTGCCTACCATCGAACCTCGCATTCTGTTGAGGACGAGTGACAAATCTCTAGACTCTGAACCTTACGATGCAACTTTGAACCATGGAAATGTTCTGAGGACCTTTTCTTGCAACGCTGCTTTGGGGAAGAGTGAACTCGCACATCTCAGGCCACGCATGTTACTATTTGTTTCAAGAAAAGTTAACACCTAGGTGCAAATGGCAAATGGGTTCTCTAGCCTCCAGAAACGCTCACAAAGTAGCAGCTCCAAGTTCAGGCTCCTTGCTGGTAAAGTACTGGTTCATCTTTCGGTTGAACTCATCTTCATTCTTGAAGTATGCCTCAGTGGAGATCACTCTGAGTCAAGCCTACCACCAAAATTGACAAACAGGAGGCTTGCAAGCACCTGCCACATGTCTCCACCCCTGCCTTCCTGTGCAAGCGCTTAATGGTGGTCTCTTTTGTGTGAAAGTCTTTCGCTCGCTTCACATAGTCCTCCACGAAGTGAGAAACGCATTGCAGGTGGCTGGTGGCATCCATCACAGTGGGGAGAGGTTGAAGGCTCCCTTACTCACCTAGAATACGAAGATAAGATATACAAAGACTTTCAGACAATTCTTCACTTCCATGATGAGTAGCCTGGGCGCATTCAATGTTTGTCCAAGATCTTTCGTTTCGAAATGCCATGGACGGCCACCACAGTTTGTGAGTGTTGGAACGCCGGAGTCCAAGCGTCCCGGTCCCCAAGGGTCTCCGAGGTCCCTGAGAGGGTCGAGGGTCCTTGTGCTTCTCCAAATAGCCCAACTTCCTTCTGGACTTTGGCTGATGTCGTTCCTAAGGCTTCGACCAACATGGATGGACCAATTTCTCGGTTCCTTTCTTTTCCAATTCAATGTCTTCCAACCTCGCATCTTGACGAAGCCAAACGCGCGCGGTGCAAAGGTCAGGCGCCGGCCAAATGCACACGCTTGTGCACCACATGCCTCACAAGAGTTCAGCCGATCCTGTCTGATCCAGATCTGATTCTAACTCAGGACAGAGACTCAAACTCACCCAGGTCTTCACTTTCCTCTTCACCCAAAAGGACGGCAGGGACAAGAGAAAGAAGAGAAATCAAAGGAAACCAGGATGAGTTGGGTGATCTCGCCCTCGCACTTGGCCAAGCTCACGCATGGTTGATATTCGTGGTGATTTTTCTGACTCCCCTTGCCGGCCTCAAGCCGCCATCCCCACCCATGCTTGGCGCAACAAAGGGCCGTGGTACTGTGAATCACCGGTTGAGGGTTTCAAGTGGCACACTGCTGCTCGTACCTTTAAGAGCTGACAAATCTCGCACGAGCATCCATGCCGAGAATTGACCCAGTCGCGGTTGAAAGTTGAAGAAAAATGGCTAGGAATCGGCTAAGCGGCTCAACCTTAAAAGGTGGTCCCAACTGCTGGACATCCTACAGCTTCGTTCGGAAATGTGAAGCATGTTCGTTTAACAGGCTAAAGCCACCTTCTCGGGTGGTCTGCTGTTGGGTGCAAAAGCTCTTCTGTATCTCCTGAATGTCTCTCAGCGTCCAGGGAGCCTTGAGAAACCTTCAAATGTGAGAGACAGGGGCTGTCACGGTTTGTGATTGCAGCTTCGAACCAGTGTGCATCAAGTGAAGCGACTGGACTCATGAAAGCGCAAGACATGTGGCCTCAACCAATCTCAAAGTTGCCGCCACTGGGTGAAAGAAAAACAGGTCTGGCTTTCACCACTAGCTGAGGTGTGTGATTCGGGTCTGGCACAAGACCCGGAAATGGAGACGGCGGAAATGGGAAACTAACAACTAAACTAACAACAGTGACACGTAATTTGTTACCTACCCAGGGGTCAAGCGAAACAAATATGCAGAGTGAAAGCGCCCCAGCATGCCCCAGCCTATCCATACTATTCAACAAGTTTTTTTTTGTGAGGAAGTATTGGCCCATCTCATCTCTGCCTTCTGCGGCCTAGCGAACAAAAGCAGTAGTGTTTGGAGGTAAAAGGAATCAAAGCCACCCTCAACTATGACCACAAATCCCAAAATGCTCCTGATGAGTATCCCGCGGTACGAGATGATAAGAGCCTTGACTGCTGAAGGATGGTGACAGCTACTCCTAGACGAGGTTTGCATAGAGAGGTTTGCATAGAGAAACTTCGAAACGAAGAAGGCTGGGAATCAATAACGTCGACTCGTCATAAATTAAACCTCTTCAGAGATCCAAAGAGAAACAACACGTAGACCAACCCCCGCCTATCCACACCTCAATCTTCGTCACAGGGCAATTCCAGACGATCTATATCTATCTATCTGATCTATCTGTCCTGCCGCCGAATGCCTTGCCATCTTTGACCGCTCTGAGCATCTGTTGAGGGCATCGAACGCTGGATGCTTCGTGAAGCGACAAAAAAATGATCCTGTTCTTCCGTTCCCTATCGTGTCACTCTTGGACTGTCATGTCCTAGATGGTCGCCCCACAAACCGGCATTCAGGGTGGCATTGCTGCAAACAAGAAGGATCACGAAGCCTCGCCGTTCAACGGAATGGCCGCAGCCGTGCACCGTCAGCGGCATCACCGGCATCGGCGGCATCAGAGTTCTTTCTTTCTACCCTCTGTACACAGCCGTAGCTTCTTGCAGGCCTTAGTCTCAGTATTAAGACCAACATGACCAACCAACTATATAGTAGATTGGAATGGGTCGGCAAGTTAGACAGCAGAGCTCCCCTTTTTCTCCATGCAGTACCTCTTGGCGTCTGGTTGATGGCCTTGCTCGAACAGTACCTCCGTGTCCTGGATTCAGATCATCAAAAAATGGCCGCTGAAGACTAGACGCCGCAAAACACGTGGTGGATCTGGGTCCAAGCCTGGCGGACTTTGAAGTCGTTGTCCAGCTAGGAGTCCACAGCTTTGACCTGACAGAAAGTTGGCAAAACCCACCATGACCCCTTTCAAACATCAACAGCAGTGATATGCAGTCATGGGGTTCAGGTTCAGGTTGGGGCCCTTCTCAGAATTCTCTGAAAGTGTCACAACTAGGCTCTGCACATTGGAAATCCATTTTCGTAGGTAATTCCCGACTTTCGTGTGGTCCGGAAACTTCGGGAGCCGAAGACGAGAGTTCCGAGAGTTCAAAGAGTCTCAGCCAAAAGCCTTTTCTTCTGTTCACATACCAGCATCGCTACCAGTATATAACAAGTGCATTACTACTAGTAGCAAGAAGCTACTAGTAGCCATCCTCTTGGAAGCTGAGGGAGTGGAGCCAAGTGAAGAGAAGAGAACTCAAGAAAAAGGGACCAAATTAGGATCCTCCTCCATGCTGCTGGGGTATCCCAAAACTTGAATGCAAATGCTGTAAGTTGGATGTAGTTGGTCTCTACCAAAGTGTTCCCCATCCCATGATCCATGGGAACTTTCCCCGCCCCAGTGAATAGATGTGTGTTTTCTTCAGTGTCCATGCCTTGTCCGATCCTAAGCCCTGCAGCGCTTGTTGTCCGTCACAGCCACCTGGCAGGGGCTCTCGGCCAGCAGGGTCGGCAGATGTGGGAAAAAACGATGTGGAAAAACGAAGGTGTTATGGATGCACGGCATGCAGCAGTTGGACACATTTGTGGAGCACAAGTCGGACGAAAAAGTCTGGAATCACAAGCCAATCGGTCAACTGGTCAAGTCTTCTGTGCCAATCGGAACCGCTCGGATCAAGTCAAGGCGAAGGCATTCCTCTGCAAAGGTCCGGAGTTCGACACTGAGACCTTTTGCTATGATCTTATGACTTCGGGTAAGTGGCAAGGGTAGACTAAGGGTAAACTGGAAACCTTTTGCCATCCTGAGTCGGCCCTGAAACTCACTAGGTATGAGTACAAAGGTCATCTGTTCACCAAGCTTCACCTGGGCGCCATATCCCACACACGTCTATCCGTCGATCCATCCCCCGATTCCAACCCAGCTTTTTGGCCCACACTGCACAGGGCTCCAGCGATCCGATCGCACCGATCGCAGCTCTTCAGATCGCATTGCCCGATTGTCTTCGGATGAAGTCCAAGCAATCATCCTCAAAGCGCTGGCTGTACCTCCAAGAGGTAGCTTGATTAACGAGCGGACACGATCCAAAGGGCATCGATAGCTGAAATTTTTGAATTGCTCAGTTTGGGGCTGTTAGGATACTGCAGTGACCTTGTGGTGGCCAGTGTGGTTCAGGAGATTCAATTCTGGATTTCGCAAGGCACGAAAGGTCATTTGATCAACCTGCGAAATCAGTTTTGAGAAGAGATTCCCGTGAAGCCGATTCGTCAGGATTTTGCCCGCCTGTCGTCATGGGAGAAGAAGTGATCTGCTCCTTCGTAAACAATGAGCTCGCCCTTTTGGGCTGTGGCTTTCCAGAGTTCCTCTGAGTCACGGTGGTCCTCGTCGAGGAAAACGTCTTTTTTGGATCCCAAATCGACCAGGAATCAATCCATCACATGAATCAAAGCATGCAATTGCAACACTAGGCTCAGCCATGAGGTATGGTTGGAGTATCTGCTTAAGATCCAGGAACATAAGTCCTGAATGTCAGATCAGACTTTTTGCACTCCTGGCTGCCATTGATGAACAACATGGCTCCAGGAAATTTGCCTCAGGAAATTAACTATCGTGACTGATGACCCAATTTGCCCTGACCACCTGGAACATCCGGGCAACCAATTCAAACTCAGACCGGCAACTGAAATGTCCAAACCCTCACAGCTATCATTGCCTGCTGAGGTACCTAGGGCAGCCTGTGGGTTGGTCTCTTTAAGGATCTCAACCTGCATCGAATCGAAGCAAAAGCTGCAAGTGGACACAATACCAGACTCCTATCCCAGCGGATCTTCCAAAGCTGGCTTTCAGTGCCGCAGGATGTTGCACTGGTGTTAGAGATTGCTGTCACTGACCATCAGACCATACAAGCAAGCAGCTTCAAGAGTCAAAAAGGAAGTTGCCCTGGCCCTGGGGCCCTCGGCTTGCAATTTCCCCATGGTCCCTCCATTCTTGGTACACTAGCAGCTTTCAGGTGAAAATCCTCAAATTGGTGCTTCATGGAATGCGGTTTGCGGGTCCAAAACTCTGCTCCCTTTGATCTATGTTCATCTCATGTGCACCAAGTGGACAGCCCGTAGGCGCCTGTGCCAGCGCCTGGCCGAAGAACATCCCTGTGCGGAGATGATCATCCATGAACAAGGACTCGGGGATGTGGCCATTCCTTGGATCTTTTACAAAGTAGGATGCCGCCGGATGCCGATGGGTTCCGGATGCCTCTCGCTGCGCAATGACCCAGCATGAACAGCACTGTTATGAAGAAAGCGTGTTTGGTGGACTTGAGGGAGTGTTCGTCCATGAAGGGTCCTTGTACGCGCTCGTATTCCAAAGTGACATGGGTGTCTTCTTCCCTGGTTGAAAAAATGTCCACCGCAACCTGTGACTACATTCCACAGTCTCGATTGCTTTTGCTGCCCCCTACAACTACTCTCCTGGGAGAGCAGCCCAGCGGCAGAGCGAAACCATCCGCTGCCGTGAGTGCCTCAACTCTACTTCTGAACTACCTCTCCAAAAAGCACTGCATGGTGCTACCGGATTTCTTCCCACCTAAGGTTTTGCACTTGTTCACTTCCACCAAGCGACTTCCGCACTTGGGCCACCAGTGCGCTCATGATCTGCCGTGTGCCCATCTTCGGCAGCAAGGTCCCCATCACCCACAAGCCCGCCCCGGCCGCCCAGCCACGGCCGAGGCCCACGTTCTGCCCACACCTGACAGGAACGGACGTCCTCGTTCACGCGACGTCCACGGTGTCGGGTGTCTCAGTGTGGGGCCTAAGGGCGGCCCTTCAACAAGAACCACAGATGGTCGCCCCAAAGGGCAACTCTTCGTTTCATATCTGGTTGTTCATGTCTTTTTTGGCCAAGCGTTGCTTTTTGCGAAAAGGGCACATTGTGATGATGGCACATGAGCAAAGGTCCGGATGACGTCCCAGGAACTCCATACCTGGACAGGGGGATAAATAGAATGCCACAAGAGCCTTCAAACAAGTTGCCAGGTGGCTCAATTGTTTTGACTGCAATCTCCATGCCCCCAAAACTTCTTCAACACGAAAAAACAAGGTGTTCGAGTCATACAGGTTCAGCGCAAGTTTGAACTTTGAAGCCTCTCACGACCACGCCTATGTAGCCACCCAGAGAGCCCCCCACATACACAGGCTTCACGCCCTTGTACAGCGGCGCATGCTGCTTGATCACCTGTCAAAAGCTTTCCCTGTTTGGGGGCAGGCGAGGCTTCAGCAAGTTATGCCCTGTTGGGATCAAGATATATATCTATGTATATCTTCCTCTGATCACGCTTTCTTCATCCCAAGAACAATGCCTTGACAATGGCATTGATGGCCGATTCCATGGTGAGGACTTCATCCATGCGGGAACCGTGCCCAGGCAAATCCATCAGAACACACCTCCGACGTAGGATTGCCGCCCATGTGCCGTGGCTTGTGAACATGGAACCGCGTAAAAACTAAAAGCATGAAGACCGGCAGTTACAGGACTAGTGATCGACATACGCGATCATACAGGTACGGTAGATCTTATGTATATCATGATCCAACCCCCCTTCGTCTTTCTTTGATGGCATGAAGGAATGCTTCCAACCTCACCTGAAGCCGTTCTTCACCATAGCTGCTGCATGCTGGCGAAACATCTTCCGGCAGCCCCCTCCACCATGCACATACAGCAACGTCAGACCGGTGGAAGGGCCCAGAATATCCACATCTTGTGTGAAGTCAAGCCTTAGCGAGTCTGAGGGCACAAAGAACAGCAAGTTCGGGTAAACCTTCGATGCACCTGTTACGTTCGTAGCGATGGCCTCCACCTAATGGCGTCCTTGCTAGTAGTAGCTTCTTGTTACTAGTAAGAAAGGGTTTACCCAAAGGGGGGTTGTACCGGGTTGGGGTGGCTAATCAAAAAGCTTATCCATTCATCTGGCCACCTTTCACAATGCTGCAGCGTAGGCCCGTCGATATTGCACAGTGAGCAAGAACAAGTCTGCCAAACTATCACTGAGAGACAAAGAAAGCCTTTGGAAGCAGGCCTTGCAGAAAGATTGAATGTCCTCAGGGATAGAGTCGGGCGGACTGCAGCATCATCCCACAGACCTACTACTTGACTACCTTCAAACACCCACCCGCCAGGGTCAGTCCAGGAGTCCATCTGCCCATCCCTCCAGGGTCCAGCCACACATCCGTCGCCCCTCTAAAAGCCGCTTGTGCTGCCCTTCGCTGGTCCTGATCTTGAACCTTCCCTTCGCCACGGGCTTTCTCTGTCACCAGCGGATGCGCCAGGCACGAGGAACCTGAAGCGAGCACGTGGAAGCGGGAAAGGGGTGAGTTCCAAATCTGCGCTTGAAGCTGGCGAAAAGGAGGAACAAAAACTACTATATATACGTATGGTATCATAGGACTACGGCTGGAATGAGCTCCATTCATGATGAACCGAAACTTATCCCCATCCCTGTCATCTAAAAAGCGGAGGTAAGGTCATAGTCACAGACGTTGTGAATCTCATTGGACTGCTGGAAGACAGCCCCTGCCCCTATGCTTTCAACTGGGTAGGTGCTCTGCCAGCAATGTTCCTTTTTTTTCAAGCTCCTGCTGTCGAAGGAGTCTCTAAGGGCCTGGCACAAAGATCGGCCACAGCCGCCAGATGCTTCTTCACAGACTTTTAGCGAAGAGAAAAGACCAGGGTCAGCTTGGCACTCTGCACATCCTGCAGTGGTCTCTACTGGTGCATGCTTGATCTGGAATGTCTAGCATTGCAGCATTGCCATGATCTCAACCGTTTGAGCGGTTCAGTAAACTCAGCCCTCCTCGTCTTGCTTCCGCAGAGCAAATACTTCCCATGGCAAGACGCTTTGGGCCTCGCCCAGATTAAACAGTTTAAAGTGCTGAACAGCTTGAGCCAAACGGCCAGATTGTGAGATGCTCCAAGAAATTCCAAGCAAGCCTTGCCTTTCCCCAATCTTGTCAATCAATCAAACAAGGCCCTGGTTGGACCCAGAATCTCAAGATAATGCCCTCAGGTTTAGACATTCTTAGTGGTGTATGTTTGTTGCGTGGCAGGTACAATTAGTATTGCCACAAAGCCAAGCAAATAGCAGTGAGCGATCCAGTGATTGAACTGAAAACTGCTCTACACTCTGGCTCAACCCATGCATTGGAAGTTCCCGACAAAAGCCTAGGACCAGGATTTAAACAGAAGAACAGACAGTCTTCTTGGAACCATCTAAGAGACTCTAAAGGCCAATTGTTTCTTCTCCTTTCAGTTTGTCCCGCCCGACCCAACCACCCAACCCACACCTCGGTTGAGAATCCTGTGACGCCACCCACGGAGGCTGGTATCATCGGCACTCAGCGCACTCCTGTCTTGCACGCTGGAGAAACTGATTACAAAGGCTTCAGTGACTGCGCAAATAAATGTCGGGCTGAATCTTGCATTTGTACTAACAGAATCGAGCTTCCAATTAGCTTTCACATGCTCAACGGAAGGTTGTGGAAACTGTAGGAGGCGAGTGGTGCAGTGTAACGTTAAACGTTTAAATGCGTTCACGCACCCGCATCAGGATTTGATTTCTTGGGAATAGGGCTGTCCCAAGGCTGTTCCAAGACTTTCTGGCTAGGAAGGACGGGGTTGCATGTGGAAACTACGAGACAATATCAGACACTAGGAGCAAGGGACGCTACCAGGGGCTCCTGGCCTTACTACTAGGAGTAAGGGACGCTACGAACGGGGTCCTGGCATCGCTACGAACGGAGCAAGGACGCCAAACGGAAGAAGAACGCACAGGAAAGTCGGGCCCACGACCTGTGAGTCGTTCAACGGCTTTTGCTCGGAGATGGGATCTGGAGACCGTCTCAGATTGACCGACTGCAGGTGCTTGTCCAAATTACAAGCAGGAAGGATACTGGGACTGAGGCCGAACTGTGAGAACATGCAGATTTTGAAATCCCTACTGCCGTGATTTCAGCAGTGGCCTCAAACAAGAGATTCTTCTGAGTTGTGGTTCGCCTTCACCGAGTCATGCGATACAAATGACAAGCACCTATTTAAGCCAAATTAGCAAGCTGGACGATGTTTCAGCAAAAATTCTGCAAGCAGCAAATCCTGAGGCTTTAAAGGCACGGATTTGACAGTGCGGTCACCCACCCACACAAAAAAGATCGCCGATATGACATTGTCCTGCCACAAGGCTTCGACTTGCTCTGCAGTGAGCTCCACAAAGTCTCCCGGCCTCGCAATAGAGAGATGGGCAAGACCAGTAGAGAAAGCGCAGCAAGGTCCCCAGTCTTTTCAGGCTAAACAAGAACCAAAAGACTGAGTCAAGAAATAGAAGCTAGCACTGTTCCAACTGAACTTCCCGCCATGGAGTGTTTCCTTCCCAATTTCCCATGGCTTCTCCCTGCCACCTGTCACCCCTCATGTCGCATCCAAAGGGCTCCTGTAGGCCACAGGCCTCAAGGGAAAGCTCTCCGATGGCCAAGCGTTGGAGCCTGAGGACCTCGTGCTTCGAAGAAGGAATGAAACAAGTGGAATTCCAAGTTCTTGAAGTCAAGAAGGAACAAGGAACAAGAAGCTACTAGGAGCAAAGGGCATCGCTACTAGGAGCAAGGACGCTACTAGGGGCTCCTGGCCTTACTACTAGGAACAAGAAGCTACTAGGAGCAAAATTGACATGTTGTGGAATTCCTGATGTCCATCTCCCCAGAACTGATGTCCAAACCATCGGAAATGCCGTGCTTTTTCTAGCTTGCCTGAGTGGGGAACCCCTGCTGGGTGACAACATGAAATCCTCCACCTTGAAATCTGTTAGGGATCAAGTGTGATCAATAAACCTGGGAGCATCCTAGGGGGTGTCAAATCTGGCGAGAAGACGATGTGGCACATTGATGGAGACCTCTCATTGAGATCTACAAGACTGCAAGAAATGTTCAGAGGCCCGAGGTTTGGCACGAAGCAGACCCAAATGTTCTTACTCCTTAGAAAAAGAAAGCTCTTGCTGTCTGTCACGCTGACAAACCAAGCAACCAGCATTGTCAAGGACTGCTATGGCATTGGACCCCGCCATACTGGTGTGATTTGGGCTGTTGGGGATGGGTCAAAACCTGGAGCCCCAAGACCATGTAGCTTGACCTTCCAGTGTAGCTTGATTTGAGCTATGAAAAGTGCAAGCAGTTTGGGAAAGTTGCGCCAAGCTTACAATGCCAATAAATCGCTAGATTCAGTCCCTGAGCCAGCAAGTGTCTCAAAATTAGAGAATTCATGAATTCAGGATGCCATGATTTTGCTACTTTTGTGCAGACAGTCTACCATTTCTTGTGGTTCGTTCATCTCTGATCCGGTGCATTTCCCATGCTGCGGATATTTGGTTTCACGTGCACATAGGTAGATCTTCTGTAGGAACAAGAAGCTACTAGGAGCAAAGGGCATCGCTACTAGGAGCAAGGACGCTACTAGGGGCTCCTGGCCTTACTACTAGGAACAAGAAGCTACTAGGAGCAAAATTTACATTTTGTGTGCAGTGGTCATTTACCAAACTCCTCAGTACCCAGCGTAGCTGAAGGGCTGGAGAGAGCTTGTGGACGTTGTGCAAGTTACGCCGGTCGTAGTATCCACTGCCATCACATTTTTGAGACGTCTCTCTCACACCAATTCAAGCTTGGCCAATGAATTCCTGACTGCCGTTCGCTCTCATTCGGGAAATATCAGGTGTATCTCAGTCTCTTAGGTTGGTCATTTTCGGCCGAGGGCGTTCTTCATCTTGATGGTTCCCTGTCCGTTTCTGTCACAACAGACTCCTTGCATGATATTCGCTCCGCTTTGCGACAATCATGGGCATATTATATCCAGCGTCAGATTTCCCAACGTAAAGGCACGGTCGATCACCCGTTTGATTTTACAGTGCTCCATAAGGCCACACAGTCCATGTCTGTCTCCGAACTCAAGCAGATTGCTTACGATTTAACTGGAGGATATCAGGTGGCAGCAGTCAAATCCACATGGTCATCGGTCGTTGACGCTAACTGCCTGTTTTGTAATCAATTGGACACTCATCGGCACCGTTGGACTGCCCCTCGTTCCACCATGTTCGGCAACGACACCCACAGGCAGTCGCCTCAACAGTTCCCTGATAAGCTCTGGCTACCTTTGCCTTGGTCGTTTCCGGAAGTCATAATGCTGCGACAGTTACTCGCTTTTCGTGGACAGCCGACTAAACACTCGCCCATCCAGATGGACCCCGATGTCCTCTACTTTGATACCGACGGGTCCGCAGACAACCCCTGATCGCCTTATCGCCACGCCGTGCAGCCTGGTCAGTCATCCAAGGTTTATATGCCACTCTTTCGCCCAAATATGTCACTATCAAAATCCAACATGTGCAGGGGCGACAAACAATCTCAAGGGCTGAACTAGCAGCTGTCGCGTGGATTATCCAACAGGCTGCACGATCTAACTGGACACAGAAAGTGGTATATAATTACCACCGATAGCCAATATGTCATTAACAGCATTCAAGAGGTAACGTGCCCTACAGCGCCCAAATCTTGGCACAGACTCGCACACGCTGATCTCCTTCAGATCATCTCAGAAGCCTGGAACCCAGACCAATTCATGCTTCGCAAAGTTAAGTCTCATCAAGATATAGCATCCATGGGCCCTGGCCCTGCTAAGGAAGCAGCCGTAGGCAATCATTGGGCAGATATTGCAGCAGTCAGAGCGAGAACAATAGATCATGACCAAATTGATGCATTCTTTCATAAAGCAAAGCAATGGCATATGGACCAATTTCTCCAACCAAAACTATTCTCAAATATTTGACAGATCTCAACCTAGAGCATGCTAAGAGTAAACAGCAAGCTGCTGTACAAAAACAGACCAGTGATATGCATGACCCACCCAAGATTGGGGGACCATTTATCGTCAACGAGAAAAATATCGGTTTGATATCGACCTTGTCCGCCAATTTTGTGCTGCACTTGTTTGGCCTGACCCTGCTTCACCGGATTTGTCTACCACCGCGAAGGAAGGTATTACATGGCACGAATTGACGATTGCCTTTGGTGTTAATACAGGAATCCAATTCCCAACAAGGATTCGTCTACAAGCAGGATAGAGGGCCCGACCACATCACTGGCAAGATTCTAAGGTTCTAGCCTTGCCCAAGGTTAAAAGGTCCCTTCGAGAACAGTCGGAGGCATTTCGCATCATTGCAAGCCCTCATATCACCCAGACGGTGCCGTGTCCATGCAGTTTGTTCAATCCTCCTTCGTGTCGGCTCCACCTGTTTCGCTCACATATGAGCAATGCTTTTTATACAGACGGAACATTCGAAAAGCCTTCGCGAAGCACCAAGATCTCGATACCGTGCAGATTCCACCCGCCCCTAATGAGATGCTAATTCTCGTTTACTTTTCCCCACATGCAATGCTTCGTGCTGCGCGGAGATTCGGTTTCACCCAGTTAGGTTGCGTGTAGGACTTTGTATAGTGCTTGGTCTTGTGGATACTCTCTTCAATTCCCAGGCACCCACTGATAGTGAAGGGCCATGGGAAGCGCAAACATTGGAGCGCACGTCACGTCGGTAGTGACCTACCAAGGTATCCGGGTGCCATGACCCAGAGCCAGTTGGCGAGTGGCAATTTAGCCACACATTCTCCTTCGGTACAACCTACATTGTGAATTGTCGTGACATGGCTACTCATGGCCTTCAAAAGTCTGTCTAGTCTGTCAGCTAGATCATGGCCTCCTCAGCTAGATCTTTGCAGCTCTGCATTGATCCTCCCCCCCCACTGGGGCATTCCAGCTGACTTCCCCACGGACATGAAGAGACGCTTCACCACCTGAA